ATAAGTGTGGTTTATCCACACAACTATCGCAGAATGTTACAACTTTTACAGTACTATAGAACTATAAATCAATCCCAGCTTCAGTGAAGCAGTAAGTATTGTGTCAACGACACGCGAATAAATGACTGATCGGAATAAGAGAAATGCAGTTAAAACAAGTTACAGTAAAGAAAAATTGCCCATCACGCTGCGTGGGGCGTATACGCCCCACGATTAAATGAGGGCATCAGCAATAGTATTAAGATGTCCATAATTGACTGCATAATGAATTTTTAAAAAATTCTTCATTTTACAATGATAATACCAAATGGCTTGAACGGAAAGTTCAGGGAACGTGTTAATAACTCGTAAACGAAGCCGCAGATTGAATTTTCGCTAAGGAAAAAGTTACTTCGAATGACCTCGGCTACCCCTCATGTCCGTATTGCGAAACATTTTTGGAATATCCTGTATATGTATAGACTTTATAATTGCCGACACCTCGTGAGAGAGAGGGAGAGAAAGAGAGAGAGAGAGAGAGAGAGAGAGAGAGAAGGAAACTCGGGTCGATCGAAACTACCTGGAAAGGCAGCGGCCATCATGCCGGTGTACATCACTATGAATACATTGTAGTGCTAGAATAAAAACGATTACTTAACTTTTTTATTTCTAATTTTTTATACATGAAAATTTGTTTAGATTCAGATTTTTACAATTACTGTACTTAGAAGTAACTTAAAAGCTAATACAGAAGAGAAGACTGGATTTGTATCCTCTTCAATTTCTCGAATTTTCCATTTTATCGTCCCGCAGTGTTCTCCGAATGGCCTCCTACCAAAATAGATGAAAACTAGATCATTTTTAGAATTAACAATTTAAATTCAAATTTCTTGGTTCTTCTTTCGATTGGCTTTCTTCACATCAATTATTGACGTTAGCTAGAATAATCCAGAAGAGCAACAAATAATAAAATACTACTTTAACTTCGATACATTGATATTGTCTTAATTGTATTAAGCAAAGACCATAGCAATTTGTAAAATCTATTTCGAATCAATTTCACAACGTCCGCCGTAGCTTTCATGCTAGGCTAGCTCCATCGGGTCGTGTCGTAATTTACCGTCTACGCTAAAACTGCAACATTTTCAAACCGAATACTACGCGAACATACGTTCACGATTTAGGAGGAAAAACCGCCGATCACGACCACCACGAAGAACGCCTTGATAACGACTCAGCTGGGCCCGTGCGACGTCTATCCGCATCGCGTCAAAGTCTCGATCGTGGGCATAGGGAAGGTCGGAATTGCCTGCGCCATCGCGATCCTGATGAAAGTTAGTATAGCCGCGGATCACGGGCAGAGGCAGGCGGGCACCGCAGATCGCAACGCTCGATCAACCGTTTGATTCCCGGTGATCTTTAGAGGTTGGCGAGCGAGGTCTGTCTGATCGACCACGACGCGGACAAGGCTTCCGGCGAAGCCGAAGACATCCGGCACGTCGGCGTCTTTTTGGGAAGTCCACTGGTAACTGGCACGGCAGGTACTTAATCCATTATATCTTAATCCGACGCTTCTCGTTCTTTTACGTAAAAAAGAGAAAGAAGGAAAACGTAAAAAAAACAAAGACAAATATGTATACTAAATTTGTGTGTATAATATCTTAAATATAATGTACTACTGTGATCAAAAAGTAAGGTGAATTTGTTTATAAAATGTAAATTCTTTGTTTATTCTTCCAAATCAATTTCATCCCCTTCAAAGTAATCCCCGTCCGATAAAACGCACTGTTTCCGACGCTTTTTCCAGTCCTCGAAACAGTCGGAATAGTCTTTTTCCGGTATAGCCTTCAAGACCTTCTTCGATTCGGTTTTTATCTCCTCAATCGTGTCAAAACGGCGTCCCCGCATTGGCTTTTTGAGTTTGCTGAATAACCAGAAGTCGCACGGAGCCAAATCAGGCGAATACGGTGGTTGCGGAACGATATGAGTCGAGTTTTTGGCAAAAAAGTCGCGAAGAACCAATGCAGTATGACATGGCACCAATCGAGACTTGACGCGTTTGAGACAAAAAACATCCTTCGAAATGGTTTGGACTGAGCCAAATGATATTCCAACACTATCAGCGAGGTCTCTCATTGTCAGTCGACGATTTTCAAGTACCAAATCTTCGATTTTTTTGGACGTGGCCCTCGTCGGTAGACGTTGATGGTCGTCCAGAGCGCGGTTCGTCTTCAACGCGTTCTCGGC